GGAGCCCGATGCGGGGCTCGATCCCAGGACCCTGGGATCATGACCTGAGCCGAAGGCAGACGCTTAACGACTGAGCCACCCAGGCGTCCCTTTAATTTTTTTTTAAAGATTTATTTATTTATTTGAGAGAGAGAGAGAGAGAGAGAGAGAGAGCGCGCGCGCGCGTGTGCGCGCATGCTCACGCAAGGGACAGAAGGGGGAGAATCTCGAACAAACACACACATCAGCGGAGGCAGGACTTGATCCCATGACCCTGAGATCCTGACCTGAGGTGAGCCCAAGAGTTGGGCGTTCGACCAACTGAGCCACCCAGGTGCCCCTCCTCTTCTAATTTTAAAGAAATTACGTTGTCGTGGGCCACTAAAAATATTATGGGCCCTGGCACATGCCCACTATGCGCTGCCCGGCCCTCAGAGTGGGGGCCATTCTTTTAACGAGGTGCTGCCTGGCAGGGGCAGGAGGAGTGGGTAGCGGGGGTGGCCAGAAGAGGAAGAGGTGTCTGTGTGCCCCAGAGCCTCCACTCGGACCCCCACCACCACCACCACCACCCGCCCCAGCATCCAGCTTTACCGCCCTGGCTCAGTCCTGTGCCGGGCCCCCCCTCCAGTCTGCAGAGCATCCTTCCCAAGCCCCTGCAGCTCCTCATCCTGCCCCAGGAAATGCTCAGACTCCTTAGGCCCTTCCACAGTACCCCTGCTGTGCCCCTCCCTGCATGCCTCTCTTTTTCTCTGAAGCCCGGCAACTGCCTTTCTCCAGCCTCAGCTCAAATGCTGCCTCCTCTGGGAAGCCCTCCCAGCCTCCAGGCCTCACCAGATCTTGTACCTCCCTTGCCTACCCCATTTAGGCCTGGGAGCTCCTGAGGTCCAAGGACTGTATTTTGTCCATCTCTATATACTTGGTGGCACGTGGCAAATGGTTGGCACCCAATTAAAATACTTCACATAAAGAGTATAGGAAGGGGGCCAGCCAGGTCCATCCGCCTTCACCTGGGGCCTCCTCTGACGCATAATGACAGTGGCCAAGCCCTCAGGGTCTGGCCTTCTTCCTTTCCCTGTGCAGTGACCACACGCCAGCCCCTGACGTGGTCCGGATGCTGGGGCCCAAACTGGGGAGCAACTCCACCCTGCCCCTGGGGCACAACTACTGGGGGGCAGGGGAAGGGGCTGGGGTCCCCCGGGGGTGGTGCCCTGGGCCTGAGAAGGTGTGAAGAGGGCAGAGGGTGGAATGGGGGTCTGGACAGGTGCCCTGCAAGAGGGGTAGTGTGGGGGGAAGGGAAGGGCAAGCAGAATATACGGAGGAAGGGGGTGATGGCCCCGGGACCCTCAGCCCCTAGCCTAGTGGGCCACTGACAGGGGACAGAGGGGATTTGGCAGTGACTGGCATCGAGGGGTGTGGACCTCATTTCCACCCCAAGGTCACAGGCCCAGCACTGAGGCTCGGAGCCAGTTAATCATGCCCAGTGGAGCATGGTGCAGGCATGTCCGTGAGTGGGGGATGGGGCAGGGCTGGACCACGTCACCCTGCCATGGGGACCAGCAAGCAGACGGGATGGCAGCATTGGGGAAAGGCACCCACAGTCCCCAGGGTGCATGCTGTGGCCCAGGGACCTCCACACCACCCCCCACCCTCACCCTCACCAAAGCCAGAGCAGGCCTCATGCCCCTTCCCCAAGTCCCAGGGCGAAGCCTGAGCTCAGCTCACTTGGCCCCTCAGGAGCGCAGAGACCCCTGCTTTGCTGGGCCATGTTGGGGTCCCTGGGGTGGGGCCAGGTCACGACCCCTGGCTTCAGTTGGAAGCCCAGGGCTTGTCTTCACAGCACGCGGCTATTCACTGTGTCTCACTCAGCAAGGAGGCATTGGGAACACAGAGAGAGAGAGTGTAGGGGTTAAGAAGGACGATGATGGGGCGCCTGGCTGGCTCCGTCAGTAGAGCCTGCAACTCCTGATCCTGGGGTTGTGAGTTCAAGCCCCACGTTGGGTGTAGAGATAACTTAAAAAAATAAAATATTTAAAAAGAAGCAGAAGGAGAAGGCACGCTGACAACCAGCCATCCTGGGTCAGATGCCTGTCCTCCCTCCCCCAGCCCTCTGTGAGCCTTTATTCCCATCTGAAAAATGGGCTCATGACCCATTTTTGTGATTTAGAGCTTAAACCACACTGAAGGGAGCATGGTGGGGACAGCAGAAGGGGGAGGAGCTGGAGACTTGAAGCCAGTGTCCCGGTCCGGTAAGGGCCGGCCCTGGCCTGGGGAGCAGGCAGGCCTGGAACCACCATGCTTCAGATGGGAGGCTGGGCTGCCCCCCTTTCTGCTTCCCTTTCTCCCCAAGCCTCCAGGCCATTCCCTCCAGCAGCCTGGCCCAGCTGCAAGTGCCTTGGGCAGCTTTATGGGGGCTCCATGTGGAGGCCAGGCATTCGGGCCCCTCGGGGAGAGAGCCAGCCAGGGGCTAGGGAGAAAGAGAAAGGTGGAATTGGGCGCAGACCACTCGGTTGCTGCCCTTCCCCTGAGCCCCGACCCGTGAGACTGTCAACCTAGTGGGCTGGAGGAAGGGGACATGCAGACCAGCCTCCTAGGACACCCGCTGAGGTTGGGGACAAGCTGGTGACCAGGTCCTCTGGGTAGCCCAAGATTAAGCCCCAGGGCGAGCCCTGCTTGCCTGTTCCCACCTGGGGCAGGTGACACCACCTGGCCACCGGGCCCACCCTTCCGTTGGCTCAGCCCGGTGAAATCCTTTCTGCCCCCGGCCCACCTCCCCCCTCAACCCTCTGGTGTGTCTGGCCTGGTGGACATCAGGGCAGCTCACCCCAGTCCCCGACCTGGGCAGACCAGCACACGGCGGGGTTCAAGGGATGCCAGGCAGGTGGGGGTTGGTCCCTTCCAACAGGGGCCTGCAGAATGGCAGATCAGTGCCCCTTCCCCTCCCGCCCCTTTGAGGCTCACTGCCAACACATTTGGCACGGAGCCCTCTGTGAGCGGGAGCCAGCTCGTTTGTGGCCGGTGTTAATTAAGAGAGAGAGGTGATGGGGGGGGGTGGGGATAGGGCCATGGAGGGCAGCTTCCGACAGCTGCCGGGACCACTCTGGGCCAACCCAAGATGCCCAGGCCTCCCCTGCTGACTCCAGGGCAGGGCTGTCCACAGGTCCAGCAGCCCCTCTCTGCGGCCCGACCCTTGGGTGGGGGTGGGGGGGTTTCCAGACTGCGACTGAAGGGCTTCTTACTGTGTGGAAGAGTCAGGCCCCCTCAGGGGGAGAGCCTCCCGGTGCTGCCTCAAGGTCGGCCTGCCTTGTGGCTTGACTACAGAGCAGGACCAGCACTAAGCAACTGGACCCCCTAGCCTCGGGCTCCTTATCTATATAATGGGAGCCATAGCACTCCCATGGGGCTTTGTTACGCTTGTAAGCAGGATCATTTGTGCAAAGCGCTCGGTCCGCCTGGCAGATAGTCCTCACCCCCTCTCTGGGAGCATGTTTTCTTGGGGCAGCGGCCTCCTTCAGAGCCCTTTGGGAGCCCAGCCCCTCGGCGGGCCTACCCACAGCTGCCTGGCTGTGCCTGCCTGGTCCTTCTTGAGCTGGGGCTCCGGCTCCTGGCTGCCTCCCCGCCTGCTCAGCCGGTCTTCCTCCCACCTTCCCCGCAGCCCCCCAGCCCTGCTCTGGGAGCGCCCAGCCGCTCCTCGCCTCTCCATCTTAATTAGCTGCTTGTATTAATCTCGCAAGTAACGTGGCAACTTGCAGCCCTGGGTTTTTGGGCTGTGGAATTAATTATTCCCCAAGCGAAGAGCTGTCAGCTCTGGGAGACCAGCCACTCAGAGCCACCCGACACCACTTAGCAGGGTCCACAGCGTCCGCACGGCAGCCCGGGAGGGGCCCCCACTCCTGGCCCAGGCCCTGCTCCCCCCCACAGGACCCCAGGAGGTAGTGGGGTGCCGGAGCAGTGGGGGAGGAGCAGGCCCCGCCTGGGAACCAGGACTCCTGGGGCCAGAGGAGCTGAAGCACGTCTGGTCTCCCCACCTGGGCAGCATCCCCCGGCTCGCCCATCACTTCCCTGATTAGCACCAGCAGTCAACACAGCCGCGTGGCTGGGGCGCCAGCTGGGGGGGGGCGCACTGACCTGCGTGGCCCTGACATGCGGCCCCGAGAGGCTGCCAGCTTCACTTTGCCCTCACAGCAGTCCCCTGGGGAAGCAGGAGGGGGCCGCGGGCAAGGCAGAGCATGATGGACAGGTCAGCCCCAGCCGCCCAGCTCCAGTTCGGGGAGGGGGCTGGAGCTGAGCATCGCTCTCTCTGCCCTGGCCTCCACACCAACCCTGGGAGATGGTCTCTTCTCCCGGGGGCGGGGGAGGGGGGGGGGGGACGGAGGCACAGAGCAAGCCAGCTCAAGTCAGCCTGTCCGTTGAACCAGCTTTGGTTCCAGTCCCAGTGCTCTGTGCCCTCACCATGCTGCACCAGGATGGGGACCCCACCGTCTGTTGGGTGCCCCCAGCCCTGGTTCACGGGCTCATGTTCTTACCCGGCACCCCCCACACACACACACTCGTTCCCTGGGCAGTACTCAGTACAGTTGCACAGATAGTTTGATTTCTAGCGGCTTCCAGTTGTGTCCCGTGAGCTCCAAGAGCAGGACCAGGCCTGGCACAGAGGGGCCTCGGGAGACGCTGGGTCATCAGAATGAATGAATGAATGAATGAATGAATGAATGAATGAAAGGATGCACGTGGCCACAGGTCTGCCGTTGCTCCAGACCCCACACGGGGCTGTTTCCGGGGTGAGCGGCTGGGCCCCTGCCACCCTGCAAACCCCAGGCCCAGCAGGAGCCTCAGCAGGAGAGGAAGTCCCGGCCTCACCCACCTTCCCCTCCTCTGCCCCTGCCTCAGGGAAGGTCCTGTGCCAGAGTCTGAAGGCCCCAGGGGGGCCCTGGGCCCAGCTGCCAGCCCCCCATCCCCCCCACAAGCTGCGGGCCCACCAGCCACTCCCCAGCTGACTGATCTTTCTCTCTCTCTTCCTGCAGCCAACAGCTCCCTGCTTGGAGGCGGTGGTGGTAAGTGGACCCTTCCATGGCTGCGGGCGGGGTGGGGGCTACGCGGGCTTGGGGGTGGGTTCCTGAAGTCTCTCCTTCCACGGCTGCTTCTCTCCTCTGGGCCTCCTTGCCCACCGTGCCCAGCCCTGCACCTCCCCCTGCAGCCTTCCCCATCACCCCCACTGTGCACCCGCCCCCATTTCTCCATCTCTGACCTTTTCTGACGCCCACTGCCTCGGCCAAGCCTGGCCTGCCATCAGTGGGGACAAAGCTGGAGCCCTGGATGGCAGGCCTGGTGCCTTTGCTCCTGGGTGACCCGGCCGGTCCCCACCCTCTGAAGAGAGGCCTCCTGGTCTGTAACTGGGGGGCTGGGAGGGGCACGCAGCAGGACACTTGAGGGTTAAAGAGCCTGGGCCTAGGACTGGGGGCTGCAGGTGTGGTACGGAAAGCCCAGCCCTTTGGCTTCAGTTTTCCCACCTGGGAGGGCAAGAGATCTCTGTGACCTCGACCTCGAGGGCAGCCCCACCGCCAGGAGAAGGCCTTGCAAAGTCGGGAGCGCTCTGCCGGCTGTGAGGCCCCCCAGAAGGCCTGTGTGTTCACTGTTGCTACCCACCAGCAAGCAGGGGCTCCAGCCGCGCCAGGTGGGCAAGAGGTGGGAGGCCAGGGTGGGCCCAGCCTGCAGGGACACGGCCTACACGCTTGGCAGGTGCCAAGGCGGGGGCAGTCCCTGGGACCCCCAGTGAGCGCCTCCCCTGGCCAGCCCTGCCCAGGCGGGCCACACCAGCCCCTCGCCCCCAGCCCCCTGGCCCCCCTGGCCTGCGCCGGCTGGGCTGCCTGCTGTCTGCACCGGCTGCCACATGATTGGTGAGCTGGGGGGCAGGGGTTAATGCGCCGTCGGATAAATCCCCAGGGGCGTGTTTACCGCAGCAGTGGCGGGGCCCAGGCCAGGTTTTAAAAGGGGGAAAAATAAAAGGGGCGTTAAGGTCAGGAATAAATAAGAACAGTGCTAAGAGCTGTCGGTGACCAGCCAGGATGCAGGATGCGTGTGTGTGGGGGGGGTTGTTTGTGGCTAGAGATACTTTCCCTCCCCCCCTCCCTCCCCCGCTTCTCCTCCACTGTCCCTGTGGAGGTCACAGCTATCCTGGAGGCCTCACGGAATGCGGGGCTTCACTGGGGCTGCGGCCCGGGCTAGGACCTTCTTCTGAAGCCTGTCCCTTTTGGAGGACTCGGGGGCTGTCGCTGATCTGCCACCTCCCGTGCTCTGCCTTCAGACATCCCTCTCCTTCGTCTGTTCATTCATCACTCAGCGACAGAGCACCCACTGGGTGCTGGGCCCTGAGCTGGGTGCCGGACCAGAGGGGCCTGGTCCCTGCCCTCCCCGAGCTCACAGTCCAGATGAGACCTCCCAGGGTGCTCTGTGCAATGGGGGAGCAGGGCTCCTGGAAGGAGGTGGCCCCTACACTGGGACCTGAGGGAAGGCTAGAAGACAGCCAGCAAAGAGCGACGGGAAGGGTGTCCTGGCCAAAGGGAACAGCACAGGCGAAGGCCTAAAGTGAGGGAGAACATGGGGCATTTGGGGAGACTCAGAAGACTGGAGCGGTCACAGCCCCGCCAGGGGGAGAGGAGGCAGGAGATGATGCAGGAGCCTCCCAGAGCCCGTGGGGAGCTGGACTTCTAGCCATTTAGTTCTGGGAGACAAAAGACCACAAAAAGGTGTGGGCCTTTTAAATCCTAAGTCAGGTCATCACCCCTTTCTGCTCAAAAGTCTGCCAGGGCTCTCCCCTCACTCCGAGCCAAGGCCAAGTTCTTTTTTTTTTTTTTAAGATTTTATTTGTTTGACAGAGGGAACACAAGCGGGGGAGTGGGAGAGGGAGAAGCAGGCTCCCCACGGAGCAGGGAGCCCAATGTGGGGCTTGATGCGGGGCTCGATCCAGGACCCTGGGATCATGACCTGAGCCGAAGGCAGACGCTTAACAACTGAGCCATCCAGGCGCCCCGCCAAGGCCAAGTTCTTAGGGCCCCAGGCACCTGCCCGACTCCCCGCCACTGCCCAGCCCCCCGTCACTGGGCACCAGCCTCCCTGCTGCTCCTGCCCCAGGCCTGTGCACAGGCTGCTCCCTCCGCCCGGAAGCCTCTTCCCAGCTGGGGCCGTGGCTGCCCCCTTCACCTCTGGCCGGGTTTCTGTGCTCACCGCCTTCTCAGGGAGGCCCCCCCACCAACCCCTCTTTGAAACTGCAGCTGCCTCCTCCCGCCGCAGCCTGCATTCCCCACCCGGGGCCCCGCGGGCCATGTACCTCACTTGTCAGGGTCACTGCCGATCGTCCGTCTCCCCGCTGAGAACAAAGCTCCAGAGGGGGCGCTGCTGGATCTCCAGCAACTAGAGCTGGGTCTGGCGCCTACACTAGGTGCTCGGGTAAAGGGTTGTTGAATGAATGAATGAACTACAAAAAGGCAGGGATGGCCTAATGTGTTCCGAGAAGGACTTGCTGGGGAGGGCAGCGGAGGCCACTGAGGTTTTAGGAAGGGCAGGGAGGGGCTCATAGATGGCCTGGCGACCTCACTCCGAGAGGTCAAAGGGCACCTGCTCTGGCCAGACTGAGTGGGGCGGTAGAGACTCCAGCAGCGCTGAGGGGGAGAGAAGGCTGGAGCAGGCCCCAAGCGCTGCCTGCCTGACGCAGAGATGGATGGGCTGGGCCAGGACCCAGGAGGAAGTGGGCCTGGAGTCCAGCCTTTTAACGCCCGCCGAGATTTATGGAGCCGCCGCGAGTGCTCACTGCGGCTGTCACTCTGCTAATGTGATTGGAACAAGGTGGAGGTGGCAGGGAGGGTACCGTGGTAGGGGCGAGGCTAGCGCTGTGGAGGCCTGGTGCCTGCCTAGGGCTGGAATGGAGATGGTCCCAGACCTCTGAGATGTCCTCCACCCTCGTGTCTGCCCCGTGTACCCCTGCTGCCCGCAGCTCCATCCAGCCTTAACCCTGCCCCCAACGGCCCGGGTGGGGGCTACAGGCAGCAGCAGCATGGGACTCAGTGGCCCAGGTCCCCATCTGAGGGCCCTGCCCAGACCCACCTGTCTTTCCATGGGGTCACCTGAGGTCCAACCCCACGGGGGTTCAGGCCTCTACCCACTCCCCCACCCTCCTATCACCACCCATCCACCTGCCCCATAACCGCCCTCCACCCATCCACCTGCCCCCCTACCTCTCCATCTACCCCCCAATTCGTCCATCTACCCCCCACCCCTCTATCTACCCCTCCACCCAGCCATCTACCCCTTTACCCATCCACCTTCCTTCTCCGTCCAACCACGTACCTCCTACCCACCCATCTACACCCTCACCCCCCATCCATGTGCCCCCCAATCCTTGCAAGCATCAGTCGGGGGGGGCCTGCCCTGCCACTCTGAGTTGGGCTGCAGGCCCCAGCCAACCCTCTCCCCCTGCTCTGTGGCTTTTTCCATAGCCCAGACCTCCTGTTAGTGGACCTGTACTTTATGTTTGTTCTTATTGCTTGTCTCCCCACTAGAGTACATGAGAATGCACTCTCCTCTGGGAACGGATTCTAGGGGTTTCCAAGCCAGTTTATGGGGCGGTCGTTGCACCCTCTGTATGCCAGGCCCTGCCCAGAGAGCTGGCACACAGGTCCAACAGCCCTGCACTGGGGCGGGGGTGGGGACAGCAGGCAGGAATGGGGGGGTGGGGGGCGGGGACAGTGATGGCTCGGAAGGAGGCCCTCAAAAGGAGGCCTGGGGCCTGGCCCGCAAGGCTTCGGGAGGAGCGAGCCCAGTTGTTGGATGAGTGTGTGGTGGTTACAGTTGGGGGAGGACCGCAGCCTCTCAGGAGCAGGGAAGGGAGTCTGTGGGCACCCCGGCCCTCAGTGAGAGCCCCAGGGGCGACTGGGGTCAAACGGACTTAACCCACAGAGTCCAGGACTCTTGGGCCAGACTCACTGTAGGGCTGGGGCCCCACCAGGCCCTGAGGCCAAGGTAGGTGGTTCTGGCAACACAGTGAGTCTCTGGGAAGCCCCCCGCCTCCCCACTCACCCTCGTTCCTCCCCAGGGCTCTCTCGGAGCGTGGGTGGTGGTGGGGACTTGACTCGGCTCTGTCCTCACAGAGACCCAGTTTGGTAGGAGGCTTCCCAGCAGAGGGGGCATCTGACCCAAGCCCTGAAGGATGACTAGGAGTTCGACAGGTACGGAGGGATGGAGAGGCGCAGCAGGCAGAGGCCCGGTGTTTGCGCTGGGAAGACTGGATGGACTGGGACAGCCTCCCCACTAGACCCTCAGACCCCAGACCGCGGGGAGCCACGCCTGCTCGCCCGCCTGCCTCCTGGAGAGACTTTCACTGGCTCGATAAACCTTTTTTTTTTTTTTAAGAAACCAGACCGCTCTCCTATTGTATGGTAAGAAGGGAGGCGGGCCCTAAATCAGGATGGGGAATCGACAGGGCCCTGACGCGTGTCTCTCCTGTTTATTAGGACTGAAATGTTTACTCGGCGATAAGGAGCCTGCTTTCTCGTAGAGATTTGTGCGCTCTTTTTCAATTACTCCTCGTCTTTCTCTGCCACTTTTGCACTAAAGGGATAATAAATGTATCGGAGCGTTTCAATTATTCATCTAAATCATGACTGTGCCTGCCACGGCCAAGCTTTAGTGACAGATTAATTCAGGGCCGCCTTCTGCTCACACGGCCGCCATCTCTGCTCTCGCCTGGCCGGCTCCCCCAAGGGCTGGCCGGAGGGGTGGCCCGGCCAGGGTCAGGCAGGGCCGTCCCCGCACTCAGTGCCCACGAGAGGTCAGCGGCCCCGCCTTCCTGCCCTGCTCCTCCCTGTGCCCACACCTGACCTTGGGCGCGCGGCTCCTCCACCCTGGGGCCCAGGCTTCTGCCACAGCCCTCTCCCGGCACAGGACCTTTGCACGTGCTGCTTCTGGACCTCAGGCTCCTCTGCCCTCCCGCAACAGCCGTCCTGCCTCAATGTCAGGGCAGCCCCTCCCACCACCACCCCCTCCCTCCTGCTCCATTTAC